TTGAGGTCGTTTCATACCGCACATTTCTGAGCTAGAAGAAACTCTCTTCGACAATATTTTGGCGATAAAATTAAAATACGAGAAGATATAAAATGCGAAAAAAAAAAAAATCTCCGCGGAGATTTCGCGTGCCTCGTGAATCTCTTTTATTTATTGACAAACGTTTTATTATTGTGCAATCTTGTGTTATATAATATTTTTCAATACATAAATATTAAGAAATAAGATAATTTTTTGACTTAATAAATTTTTTTAATGTCGTGTTATTGTTACACAACTTCTTAATCTGTTACGTTGAATTTACAAGAGACGTTCAGAATATTCGCGCAAACATGAGAAAGAGGCACGCGGGCACGATGAATAATACGTTCATCAAGTGTATTTTTCATCATCTTTACGGAGGCGCGCGGTGGAATATAAGTGGGAAACGTCGCGGGCAATATCGCTCGCGTGAATGAGCGGACGCGCGAGTCTGGGGTATAAACCCAGGGAAAAGTTTCCCCCTCAGAAAATATCTTACAAGACGTCTCTCTCGCGACAAAAATGCACTACTTTTCACAACTCGCCACTACGTCTTCGTCGCAGTCGGCGGCGCGCGATGATGCTTTATTCATTATTGTGCCGCTGCAGGCGCCGGCGCGTAAGAATTCGATATCCGGGAGATTTGCTCGAAAGGGGGAAGCGCACGGCAATGAAGGAGACCCCGAGACAGTGATAGAAATCGTTCTGCTGATACCGTCTCGTGACGCGAATGGTGGTGAGTTATTTGCAGGAAGCCGTTCAAGCGAACGAAGAATAAAGGATGAGAGAGAGAGAGAGGGAGAGAGTTATAAGCGGACGAGAGAGAAGTGGCGGAAATTATAATAGACGTACACACACAGAAGAAGAAGATGGAAGAAGAGGTGAGAAGGAAGAGGAGAAGGAGAATGAGGATGTGGATGGCGAAGGTCTCGAGAGGGGAGAAGGGGAGGGTGAATAACCGCGCGGAGGCGGAAATCGTTATTAGCCTAGAAGTGGCGGGATTTGGATATCAAAGACTGCGGTCGGTTTATGCGCAATATATATCGACGTTGTGTATCGGAGACAAAGAGCGATTATACTGTGTTGCACACGGAGGGATTTACTCGACTTACCTTATCCTCTTTGTTTCTATCGCGAATGTGTTTATATGTATATATATAATGTTCAATAAAATCATAAAATTATGATATTCGAATTGCCAAATAGAGAGAATTCTATCTTCTCATTTCTCTTCTTGTGTGTGTGTGTGTGTGTGTGTGACGTATATATTTTACGTGACGTTTTATTTGACTGTCACCCTCTTCCGTTCTTGATATTTCATCTTTGATTTCGGCGATATCGCGCCGTAATATATCTTCTCGTAAAGAACGTCGCGTCGCTCAAATCGCTTCGCGTGTCGAGAAACACAAGCGTGTTTCTTCGGTCTTCTAAGGTATAGAACGAAAATCTGGAAGCCGATATTGAACCTCGATATGAAGTTGTATCGATACTAGAGCGCGCATAACGGAGGGCGGGAGGAAAAGAAGGACGGGGGAGGCCATTACAAAAATCCATTGGCGGAGGATGAAGCTAACGAAGAAATAATGGAGGATCGAAGATCCGAAATGCTTCGAAGAGAGAAAGAACGGAAATATTTTTCTCATTAGCAAGATTTGAACAAAACTTTTTATTATTACAAGTTACGATCTCTCTCTTCTGTATCGCAAAATTTCTTAAGAAAGATTAAGAAGGATCACGGAAAAGTAGGTGGCAAGCCAATTTAGCAAAAGGTCGGCCGGGTTATCATTTCAACGTCCACACTCGGGAAAATACTTACTTGGCGCTTGTGCCCCAGAATTCCAGTCACGTTTTACCGTTGTCGTCGGCGAACGGTAAAAATATAAACGCTGCGGCATTGTCAAAGCGAAGACAGGAAAACGACGAGAAGTACATATCGGAAATTACGGTCGGCCAGACAGAAACGACGCAAGACCCGTCGGTTGTGTTCGGCCTACGACGAAGTGGAGTACTTGGTCGTGGCAACGTATCCTGTTATCGATGTGTATCGGTCTTTCGTTTTGCTCTTTCCTCTTCTCTTCGCGCATACGTCCTTAGAGTCGAATAGACATTCACCGATAAAATCAGTTGACATGTGCCCGTATATAGGCGCACCCTTTGGAACGCGATTGGAAGCGTAAGAGGAAGGTAGGTACACGTTGATAAAAGACGAAACGGGAAAACGAGACGGGAATCTGTACAGTTAGAAATGGTTTTAAACGACGAGTGAAATAATTCAATAAATCGTAAATTATAGTCGAAGTATATTTCATGATATTAAAATTATGCAGAAAATTCAATTTTGTTTCTCGTGATTGATATAGAAAAGAAAAAACAAAAATCGGTTTTATTCTCTCTCTCTCTCTCTATATATATATATATATATATATATACTTCAGTGCCCGTTACACGAAGGATTTCGAGTGCAAAAACATCGATTAACAGAGCGGTAGACTTTTTTTTCTGTGAATACAGTCATCAATTATCTGAGTCGCTCGAGAAGATAAATAAAGACTTAAAGAAGGGAGCGTGACAGAGCGATCTCTCACTGTGTGCGACTGCCGAATCAAAGGGTCGGTCGTAATCCTGTCAGATTTTATGACCGTTAAGAATATCGTTTTTGTCCTAATGGAGATAAACTTTTTCTTAACGCGACGTAAATTTCTCTTAATACGAGGAAATATATAAGGTGGCTCTGTCGCGGTCACGCAGTAGAGGTCAGTGACCCCGCCAAGGTCACGCGGCCGAGGTCAGTGACCCCACCAAGGTCGCGCGGAAGAGGTCAGTGACCCCGCCAAGATCGCGCGGCCGAGGTCAGTGGTGTAAGATCAATTCAAAGGCTTATTGTGTGATAAACTTGATTTGCGAGTACGCGCAGCTGCAGGTGACAACTGGACGGACTGGGAAAATCCATATTCTGCCAATCTACCTGACTATTTGGCCTATACGGCACGTCTTCGCCGTCTCCTTCGCATTTTTCTTTCCGTCAATTCACCCGCGATGATTTATTTCCCGACCGTCCGTTTAGCAAAAGAACGCACTTCAATATTTTCCGACAGCGTCCTTTTATAGCATCGCAGAATTCTTCTGTCTCGCACTTTTTCTCAGTGTATTTCTATATACCACGTAGCGATGCGATGTAATTCCGCTTGCGTTAAGTTGGCGAGTCCGTAAATGCAGTATCTCAACGAGTTCGCGAGATTATTGAATAACAGAAAGGAGAGAATACGCGAGAGAAATGGATCCTCATAGAACGATAGAAAGAGGATTTATGTCGTTGCTCAATGAAGAGAAAAATAACGAGAGAGAAAGAGAGAGAGGAGGCAGGAAGAGAGAAAGAGAAAGAGAGCGGGCAGCAAATGTCGCGAAGAAGCGCTTACGTTCTGCGATATTGTTCAGAAAAAGCGCTCTTGTGAACGCGTTCTGCAAGAACTTTCCTCTCTGCCTGCTGCACCTCCTTTCATTCGCAGCCGCCTGCGTATCAGAAGAGACCGATGCAACACAGCGGAAAAAGGTGGGGTAACGTACAATGAACTTTCTTCAATCGAGTCTGAAGTAACGCGACTCTCTCTCTCTCTCTTTCTCTCTCTCCGATATTTTATTTTTTCATTTTTATTCGATAACACGATATCTCGAGTAGCGGGCAAATTGAATTACGTCGAGGGCCTCGACAATCGAATTAGTCTGCGAGAGAGAACGGAAAATATCCGCCATTCACTTTTATGAAGCTTTGCTCCTTAGAAACGAACGCGTCATATGGCGCGTTGTATAACACAACGACGTCTGGAATTTCTAAAACTTCAGCTTCGACGACATCGAACTACGCCCGAAAGTGGCTATGAAAGACGGGAACGACACATCGGTATGTTGCAATATTGGACATTGAACAATAATCACGTTTCTTAATTTATTAACAAAATTATTATAAATTTCAATTATAAATCGAGAGAGGAAGAGCTCGGAAAATACTTGCGTAAAAATGTTTACCATATAATTTTTAATCATAATTTTAATAAATAAGCGCGCAAACGCAATCAGGAAAAAACGTTAATTACCTGCAGCGTGTGTGAAACTGCTATTGTTGATCGGCGCGATGGTATTCCGGTGGGGTTATTTCCACGTGCGGTATATATCTCTAATTCCGCCACCGCTCTCTCTCTCTCGTTTATTTTTCTCCCTTCGTAATATCATACATATTTCATACTTTCTGCCGGCTGTTCAACCGCGCTCGCGGCATTGTTTACGGAAAAAATCGGGGAGTATAAATTCGAAAACACGAAGCAACTCTCACCGGGTTACATCTGGTCCGTGCGAGGAGAAAATCCCTCGATCGTTTTACAAGCTCGTTCGCAGCGTGTCGCCGGTATTCTCATCGTCTGGACGATCGAGCTGCGATGCCGTCGCTGCTGCGTCAGTTTTCTCGCTACACCATGCCGGTTGCAGAATAAAAAGTACAGAGCTCTCAGCCAAGCTCTCGCCATTTCGACGGGTCGAACAAAGCTGGTCGGGAAAAAAGGACTGCTTTCTCTCTCTCTCTCTCTTTCTCTCCCTCTCTCTCTTTGCTCGAGAATGAAAAAAAATCGGGTGATCGCGCCCGCAGGCGTTTGCAAGTTTCAAACGACGTCCGACCAAAGCGTTAATTCACTTCTAATCCTTTACCGCAGCGGCGGAAACAGCGTAAATCGAGAGCGTAAATCGTTCCGCAGTCGGCGGTAAGTGTCGGAGAACCGATTCTGGCGGTGTATATTTCTCGCAAACCTCTTCATTGTTCCGTCGGAGAAACAACAGGCGCGTTAGACACTCGCGAGAACAATACGATTTGCGGTCTTTGACGCGCGCGCGCGCGCCGCGCCTCTGCGAAAACCTGCGTATTCTCTTTCTCTCTCTTGCGTACGGATAGACGATCGGAAAGTTAGTAGAATCTGGGGGGGGGGGGGAGGGAAAAATCGGAAAACCATAATTTTCTGCGAATAAAAGAAGAATCGTGTCGTCGCGCCGCGTAAAATATTCACGAGAGAAAGCCGCGCAATTTTCAATAAATTAAAAATTCACCCAACCATTTTTTTCCCCATGATTCACCACTGCTGATTTCTTGAATGATGGCGCATGTGTGCGTCTGCGGAATGGTGAATTTATTTCGTCGATGCCGCATCCGCGTCCGAGAAACCGTGCCATTCCCGAATAAGCGAGTGGATTTGGATGCGATCGATTTTAAGACGAAATCATCCTCTCTACATGCGCCATCACCGTAAGAGCACCGGTTGCAACAATTGCGTTATCTCGATATATAGGTACGTGCACCTGTACGAGCTTTCCATCCAAGCGGATGTGCGAAAAATGTGCGCGAAATTTCTCGCTCGCGAATATATCGAACGATTCCGCATTTCTCCTCCTCACATTTGTGATTCTTTGTCATCACTTTTTCGCCCGATGAATGATGAGAAAAATTATTCCGTCCATTTGCCGAGGTGAAATTCTCACTCTTTCCGATCGAGCGAATATATATATATATTCGAATATATATATATATTTATATATATGTGTATATGTACGTATATATATGTACACGCTGTACTTGCCTAGTTCTGTAGGTTAATTTTATCAAACGTGATGGGTTTTTTTTACACTTTTTATCGGTGTAATTACTTCTGCAGCCTGCTGCCCTCTTTCAATTTTCTATTTAATGAATAAATGGACGGTGCGCGCGACCTCAAAATGATGCACGGCAGCTGTGCGCTGAATACGGGAAAATAAATTGAAATGTCTATCGTCAACTGCGTGGCCGTTCGTGTGCAGTTTCATTGACGTACAAAAGGGGAAATGAAAATTCCGACATCGCCACAACCTCTGTGAGATCTTCTTTGTTCTTCCGAGAATTCCGTCATACGTTTTGTCGGTGTGTTATTTTGCTTGTTAATCGCTTTTCCGCATGTCGCAAACATGACAAACACTTCCTCGTGTCAAAACAATAAATTAGCGCGGTAAGGATAACGGTTTAAAATTTCATCCGACTAATAAAGTCAGTCTGCTTTAATTGCTGACATAAAACTCTCAAGAGTTCTGCGTAATTTAAAAAGTCTCAATATGCGTTTATATGCGTATATATCAGAATAATGTTTATTTATATAAAACGAGTATTTCCTATATTGCGTTTACTCTATACATGTATTCGTATCGATGTGAATTTACGCGAGAATAAAATTATATATTTTAACAATAAAATAATTTTTTCTTTTTTTGCGACAGCAAGTGAAAATTGTTAACAAACTTGTTGAGGAGGAGCGATTTCGCCTTCAAGTCCCGATTTTTATTGCACAGAATACGAAATATACATATGTACAAGTAAACGTAAGTAATCGCCGTTTCAAAGTCCGTCACTTTAACGGAATCGTCTAACGTTTGGCGTGGAGTGCGGCACAGTTGTCTCTGTCACGCCGTATTACTCCGGTTCTGTGGAGTTTGATGATTGTCTGTCTTTTTCTCGCCGCTCGCCAGAAGTTCCTGAATCTCGCGGAACGTTCGGCCTTTGGTTTCCGGCATGGCGAATATCACCATGATAAATGCTAGAAAACACGACGCCGCGAAGAAGAAGTACACGGTGTCGGCGCCTAACCAATCACCGATCACTTGGTACAATTTGGAAACGGCGAAACCGAGCACGCCGTCGAAAACCGTGATGATAGCGCCGGCGAACGCCTTAACTTCCGTGGGGAACAGCTCGCCGATCAGCGCGTTCGGCAACGTTCCCAGACCGAGTTGAAAAGCTACCTGAAAAACGATCACATCGATAACTGGTAGAAGATTGACCGCGGAGACGTCGATGCCCTTTTCGTCCAGCATGAGATATATCGCCAAAATCGCCAGGGTAACGGAAGAGCTCAAGGTGGAGGCGATCAGCAACGGGCGTCTACCCGCACCTTCGACGGTGGCGGTTGACAATCCGCCTGAGACGAGACCGACCGCGAGCACAAGTATCGTAGCCACGTAGAAGTCGATACCGATGGCCGCTTTCTTGAATAGCACTTCGAGATACTGCATGGTACTGAAGTTCCCGCTAAGTTGCTGCGCCGCGACTAAGCCAAGTATGATACCGAGAGCGCGGGTGTTGCTGGGCAACATCATCAGCTTCAGCTTGGCTATCCAGCTGCGTTTGACTGGTTCCGTTCGAGCGCCGGGGCCGGTGATCGGAATATTGTCACGGACGTCCTCGATAAAGACGTTGCGCAGAGCGTGTTCCAGTTCCGTTCGAGCTTCGTCCCGATCGCGAATTCCTTTGAAGAACGCCAGAGACCTGGTGGCTTCCGATACGCGACCTCTGGCAGCGAGGAAAGCCGGTGTCTCGGGAAACCAGGAGAAGCACACGATGAAGACAAGGGGTACGGCAAGGAGAATAACCGCTAGCATCTTGTAGGATACCCAGGGACCGATACTGCAAGTCAATAGCGAGCCAGTGAACACGTTCACGGCGATCAAGGTGCCAAGGGCACCCCGAATTCCGACATCGGCAATCTCCGACACGTACATCGGATTGGTGGTGTACGAGATGCCGACGCCGATGCCGAGGATCACTCTGGAGATGTAAAGAGCCTCGACGCTCTGAGCGAAGAACACGGTGGTCCAACCGACAATAAAGAAGCCGCTCGCGAGCAGGAGGCATCTCTTACGGCCGTATCGATCGGCAAGACTCGCACCGAGAAACGGACCGATCATTGAACCGATCACCGTCAGCGAGACGATCCACGAGCTCTCGTCGTCGGTTATTTTCACCGGAACGTCGGAGGTACCGGACGTGAGTTTTGAGAGCGACGTAGTGGTCCATCCGTAAACGGTGCCTACCGCCACCATCGATAGTGTTGCTGCAAAACGAGATATCGATAGGATTAATGACGGTTGATCGAATAGAGAAAATGTGATCCATTGTTGTACACAGCGCGATCTTATCAAATATCATGTCAACCTGATATGCACGCTAGCCACTGTCTCCATTGTGTCCGTTTGCTATTGTGATGCTTGTCCTGAGACGAGGCCTGCGTCACAATCTCTCCCTTCAATCCTCCTTCCTTCGGTACTTCAATCTGCGAAACAAACAAAAAAAACGGATTTCTTGTAGCAATCAGTGACTTATATATTTTTAAAGTACTTTTTAGACGCCACTACTTTTCTTTTTTTTTGGCTTTCGCAATCTGATTTATAAAATATTTCTAAAACTTCTACTTTATTTTTATTGCCGAACCAAATTACGACGAACGAGGTGCTCGCTATATTTTTCGCACACGTCTTCCTGCGCGTGACAGAATGCAGAAGACTTTTCCGAAGTGAGAATCAACAGGTGATGGTGATTAATGTGGTGCGCAAGGAATCAGATGGGAATAGCGTTTTTCACTTGGAAATCTTGAACATTCCGAGAATATCGGTTTGATCTTGCACCAACTATATTTAGACGGGAGTTTTCGTCAGCAACGCGCAGTTAAACCGCCGAAGGAATTTCCTGCTGCTGATAAAGCGTTCATGTCTTTTTTTTTTGTGTAATGTTTGTGTAATCATAAACAAGAGTTATAAGCACGCTATGTTTGTTTAATGAAGAAGATATCTCTTCGCGTTCACACGAAAGTTAACATCCTTTCCTCGCTTTTTCGTTTTATACAAAAAAAAACGACTAAACAATTGACTTTTTTTTTAGTCTTTTAAACTTTGGCTTAAACACACACACACATGTTCTATCAACACGAGCAAAACACTCGCAAAACGCGGCTGATAATTGGAATTTCATATTAACGCGATTAATCATGGCGCCACGATAAGGCCACGTGGAAGGATCGAACGCACATGCGCGCGATGCCAGTTTTACACAAGCAACGATACGCCTCTCGAAAGTTTTCGTGTTCGTCGCGTGTTCGTCCACAACATAACCTTAGTAGGATCCAGAGATGCCAGATCGCGCCGGACAGCATCGAGAGTACCGAAGCGGGGTATCCCCACCGCCTCGATGCTGTCGTACGCATACAAGCGAGAACCGCACACGGGCGCTGTTTTCGCTTGTATGCGTACGAGAGCATCGAAGGCGGTGGGGATACCCCGCTTCGATACTCTCGATGCTGTCCGGCGCGATCTGGCATCTCTGGTAGGATCCCATCGCGGCTGCGGCTACTCTTATCGTGATGCTTCGGTGCACGCAACGACTCGATAAGCGAGTAAGCGACGTGTATCTTATTGACTTTCACCTCTACACACTCGTCAACAATACATTTGCTCGATCGCGCGTATTTGTTAATAGAGTGTTTATTTTTATGTTATTTTCAAAAACTGATTCAAACAATATATATATATATATAAATATATACATACGCATATATATATAAATATGTATAAATATATACATATATATACATATATATAAATATATACATATATATACATATATATAAATATATACATATATATATAAATATATACATACGCATGTATGCGTTTTCATATTTTTTCTTTCCATAAAAGAAAAACAGATAAATTTGTATCTTCGAATCGATATTCCACAAACGTACACGTACGCGTAAAAAATCATATCTGAGTCGTGTTTGGGGATTACGATTGCTTTTATATATTCATCGAATCGTGAAAAAAAAAAAAAAAAAACAATTCGGTAATGTGATAATATACATATGGCGTCATGTGCTATATCTCGCGCACACGTGCGTGTACGCGCACGCGCACGCGTGCCACTTACGTGAAAGTGCATGACACGATTTTACCATGTAGCATGTGGTTCTTTTGCATGTACAAATATAACCTCAACCGAGAATCGGGCAAAATTTATTTGAGCTCGCGAAAGACACACCTTCGGTGAAAACGCAAGATTCGTGCCGATTCGACAAAAAGAACATCGCAACAGATCGATACTCACCAGCGGGTCCGACGTTTCTGTCATGTCCTCTCTCTCTATCTATCTATCTATCTATCTCTCTCTCCGACTCTTATTTAAATGGATCGCGATTTAAAAGCAAACGCGCCGCAAAACAGAATGGCGGAACGTTTTTTACTCGGCACTATTATTCGAATTCGACGAGCACTCTCTCACAATCTCCTTGTTATCTTTTATCTTTACGTTCGTATTAGGAGGAACGAATTCATCCAAAAACGTGCGCAGGCGCCAACACTTATCGTCCCGTCTGATTTCGTGCTAAACGTCCGCGTGATCGTTTGTCTTCCTCTTTTTTTTCTTTTTCTGTCGCTCTACTCACGTTCCGCGTTCGTGATCTCTCACAACTGTGATATTTATAATCTCTCCGAGAGATTTGCGGAGACTATCGGAGAAGGTTTTGTTGGTTCCTCCGTCAACCGACGAAGTTGTCGCAGTTGTGAAAAATACGATACGACGCGCGATTTGCTCAATCAAAATTACGATAAATTTGTCGTAAATCGTTTTTTTTTTGATAACAAAAAACAAAAATGAAAAGGTTTGACAACTTGATGTCATATGTGCGATAAATTTTTATTTGTTATTTATACAGTCAGACGCGCGCCAGCTATTCATGACAAGTTGGGACCGCGTTGACTGGGCTATTCTGACTGCGTGCCTCTTTCATCCCCACTCTTTTTTCAATATGTAATTCTACGCTTGCGCGAAATAGCGGGCGCATGCGTGATGTCGCATGGCGAATATACGATGATGGGAAGTCAACGCGAGAAGAGACGTCAAGAATAGCGTTCAACTTTCGTCAAGAATAGCGGTTGTCAGAATAGCAACCGAGACAACTGAGCCTGAAAGAACATTTTTTTTTTTTTTTACAAAGCATGTGATGCACCACATTATGTCAGTTAAATGTCGGCAGTAATCAAAGCTTGCTATTTCAGCTAATATCGGACGGAAGGCAGGAAGAAAGAATAGAACAAACTGTATTCAATGAATACAGTTTGTTCTATTTATATCATAATACAAAATAATATTGCGGAGAGAGAACTTAAACCGGTATAAATACAGAAATTAGCGTGTAACGTGTATTTCCGCTACGCTCGCATGTTATCTATAAAACAATTGACTTGTATTCGGTGACACAGCCAAACGGAATTTGCTGCGAAACCCTGATTTGACCTGTCGCGCGTATCGCTGGCATCATTTCTCTATTTAGATGTATGTGTTTGTGTGTTTTTGTACGTGTTAATTTGCGATGAGAACACGGCTCTGATGCAATTACACGCAAAACTGATCTAATTACAAGGAAACATTTCGAGGACGCGTTAAGACTCGCGTTCTAGAAATTCAGAGAACTCGATAGTTGCGATACGTCTAAAATGTTGTTGAGATTGATCGATGTGCGCAAAATAATCGGGAGAGAGAGAGAGAGAGAGAACGTACTAGACTCGCATATAGAATTATCTGGAATATACCGGATTAGCAAATGGCATTTTGATTTATACGCGACGAGACCAAGAAAAATCTCGCAACATTGCAACTGCGGAATATGAAACAAAACTGTGTCACTTACATTCACGGTCGCAGCCATGTGAGAGACGAGAATGGAACGGCTGTCCTATTTCTTCTGACGAACGCTTCAGCTTTCAACGAACGACGAATCCAACAAGTAGTTTCCCCGACTTTTATCGAATGTTCTTAATTTCAAACTATTGATTCATTCTATTTGGATGTTGATATTTTCAATTGAAGAATATATATACATATATATATATATATATATACGATGGAATGTCATCGGTTCCGTTTTTCCGCAATTGACTGACTTTTTTCAAACATTAATCAACGTCGTTCTCGAGAATTATCTTTTGTTTGAGACGATAGTTACGAGAGAAAGAGATCTGTAATAAATATATTAAATATTTATACATTTATATAATGCGCGTACTTCTCAGACACATTATTTTCCTCTGTCGTATCTTGTAGTGATGCGTTTTTACGTTATTTTAACGTTTTTTTTGCCCCCGATATTCCGAAACATAAAACCGAGTTTCGAGCAAACTATCGAGTTAACGTACATTAACACTTTACATAAGTTCTCGGTAAAACTCGTTTCGTTGAAACGTTCCGTATTAATTGCAGTCACGAAGATATTTACGTCACTGATACGCCCGCTCGAATTTAATCTTCGACTTTACGAGGAAAGAGATTTACTGAAATGTATATTCCCTCTCTTGTTTTCAAAACTTGAAACGTTTTTCCTATGTTTACGCATTTCGCAACACGCGCATCACTCTGATAGTCGCAGAAGGTCGCGATCGAGCGACAAACTATGTCCAACAACTACCCGCGTTTCCCACTTTCAGCGCGGCGGAGATCATCGCTCGCTACCAAGACGCTGGTGAACCAATGAATGCGAATTCTCGCCGAGCTCTCGCGCATCGGCGTCGTCTCTTATTAATCTATGGACCGGTCGAACTAGATAAATTTATTTATCTGGCAGTTCGTAGTTCAGCTTGGCTAGCGCGGAGCCACCACACACGACACAGATAACAACAACTTAGCCTCAACCGCCTTCACTTAATTGGCCTTAATCGGATCATCGTTAATTACGAGCACGTACAATTAAGAACACGTTACGGCTAGTGGGTTTAGAGGTAATAACGTTTGCGAGGAGGACCTCGCGCAACTCGCGTCTTCTTTCACTGACTGATGACAAGCAACAGGCGGTCGATCCTCTTCATAGTGGTGCGGCTTGTATATCTTGGATAAGAGGCATATTCTAGTGTACCTCCTTTGTTGTCTTATCTTCCGCGTACTCTCCATTATCTCTCGGCACTACAGCCCCACAAGCTTTTCTGTCTTCACAAACGCCTATAAAAATGCGCTACCGGTTTATCTCGCGCGTCTCTCCGCAATCTGCATCCTCAAACAAACCGCGCGACTGACGACGATGTAGTTGTTGTAATTGTCATCGGTGAGAAATATCGAGCGTCGGGTTTTCTGTCGCTCGATCGCATCCGACAAACGACCCAATTTATTCGAGTCTCGCTCTCGGCCGTCGCTCAAAGCCGATTATCGCGTTGGAGAGTTCGGGAAGGGAAAAAAGAAAAAACAACACGCGCGTCCTCTAGAAAATCGTTGTCTTTGTTCTCTTTTTTTTCCTTCTCGAACGGACAGAAGTTTCACTTCCCGTCTTCCCTTCCCTCCCCTAATTCCTCCCTCCCCCCCCCCGGAGGGCACTCTTTCATGTCAACCTTTTCGCGTGTACCGATGAAAAAGGCAATCGATCTATCTCGGGTTCTTAATCGTGCGCTTTAGGCGATTCAATAACGGGAACAACAAGCATACGACGGCGTCAAAGGGATTTATTGCGTTTCGGAGTTAAGCTGATTGCGTTTCGAAGAGCGGATAGTTCTCTTGGTTTCTCTCTTGGAACACGTGCAATTCGGGGATAATTCGACGTTTCAAAGCTGCGGTTTTGCGGCAGTTTCGGATGATTCACCGAATCTCTTATCCCGTGTTGCGTGATCTTTCAGCGCTGCTCTCTTTTGCGAGAGCGAAATCTACGATGACGCACATTTAATTTCGCGCTGTACACACACACGCAACGTCGGCGCACTTCAACAATCACAACCGTATAAACAGAGTATCTCAAACGAGACTCATTTCATTAAAGTTACTCTTTTTTTTTTTCTATTTATCCGTTGTATTTACATTGTTTCAAAGCAGAGTAAATTTATTGATTTATTGATTTATTGATCGCGTAATTTTTATTTGCTCTCGAAAAAAAAAGTGAGCGTCTAGAATTAATGAGATCTTTTTTTAAAAGAAAGCTACTTTACCGATGTTGCAATTAAAAATGTAATAAGATCATTACTCTTCGATATACTCTATAATGTCTAACTGTGATATATTTACAATAATTAAACAGACCATACGTTTTAATCCAATCAATTTAATTGCGTAAGAGAGCGCATGGCATCCATGACCGACGCCACAAACGGCGAAACTTGTCGCTGGCGCGCATTCTGTAGAAAGCATAAGAGTCGTCCGCATTGCATCGCATTAATGTAAAAATATATCGAATATCGATAATAAATATTGAAGTCGCCATTCGAGCGATATCGGTTGAACGTCTGAAGACGCCATATTTTGAACGAACTTTGAAAATAGGCGCCATCAGCGATGGAAGAGTCAGTCTCTCGTCACACGTCATGTTTATATATTTCATGATTAATTTCTGCACTTCGAACAATGACAAATACAAGACAGACAAATAAATTCCAATGGAAATTAATATATGTAAACGCGTTGAAAATTGTATCAAATGTCAAAAACAATAACGGAAAATCACATCAATTAAAAATAGATTGATTTAATTGATGCGTATAATTTTATATAAATATATATCTCGTATTTAATGGAATTACGTGATGTAAGCGTGTATGTGTGTGTGTGGATTTACACACAAGTGACAAACAAACGTTTCAATAAAATATTGTGCGTAACGTTCTGAAGTGTTATCATCGGGACGTATTTCATGCTTTTATGTCACGATAGGAATATTGCTTCATCGCATAAAATTGTCACCATATCGCTAGTTTAGCAATCGTGACGAAAATATCTTTCACGAATATTCGCACGAACGTAACAATTTCTTCCTTCATCTGAGTGTTTTTTTTTTATTTTTTTTTATTTTTTTTTTTATTTACTTTTAGTACAATAAAATGTAATGAGCTTTCTAAGAGAATCTCTCAGAGAGACGACAAACAATTACGACCCGATTACGATTTCGTTTTGTTTTGACGTTTCGCGTGCTTCGTATTTGGCGATGACTTGCGCTCCGTGTTATGTGCAATAGTAAAAAAGAAAAAATCTCTGAAACATTGAGAATGAAATGAATCTGTCGAGAAATATTCCGCTACATATCGATCGAGTCTTCGCGCATTTCGTTCGCGCGCGGTCTTATCTTTCTCATTATCTCTAAGTAGCGAGCGTCCTCGCGCGCAACATCATATACAGTCTCCTCCCCCATGAATCTTGAGAGATTTGCTGCTGCTAAACAAATATCCATTCCGCTTCGTTCCACTTACGCGGAATAAAGTAACGGCAAGTCCCGCGACTTAATGCATCTCCCAACAAATTGCTTCAGCCTTCGTCCCTTGTAATCAAGTAAATTGTCATTATTTTAACAGTTCCCGCTCGACAACCGGTTGCGCATTGCCTGCTCTCTTGGTCTTCCGAGGTCTTCGATCCCAGCCAGGCCCGCGCAGCAACGCGTTTACCTTTAAGCGTTTATAATCATCTCATCCGCACAACTCGGCTACCGAGCTCTCTCTCTGCTTCGTCGTCGCGCGCGTTACCGCGCGAACGTAAAGTTAATTAAAGTAATCCTCGGTTAATCGGCACCGGCTGGAGTCCGCGAGCGCTCATTACGTCGCTTTTATAAATGTCGGCGAGCGCGGGAGCGCAGGCAAGGAGAAACGAAGGGTTGTTTGGCGCGATTAAAATTTAAAGCGGTGCGCACACGCCATTTGCTCGCCAGCGAAACGAGCTTCTGGCTCGAAAATATCGACCTAGTCTTCTCTCTCTCTTTCTCTCTCTCTCTCTCTCTCTCTCTCGCCTCTTCGATTTTTTTTTTCTGCGCTTTGCGGCGTCAAAGAGCGCGCGTCCTTTTATTCGCGCGTTCTTTGCTTAGCGTTCGCTTTCGTCATTTCTCGTCAAAGGATTCGACACAAAAACGTCGATTTTCCTGATCACACGGAAAGATTCTAAAGTACTCCTTTATACACATGGTAAGTATTTCACTTTAAAGTATTCTTTTATACACACGTGGTAAATATTTTAAAGTAATGTTTTATATATGCGATAAAAATGTGTAAAAAATCAGGTTCCATTTATATCTACATCTTTTTAAACTACCGCATCATACCATTTCATTTAGATTCTATACGAGCAGTCGCGCGTTATTCGAAATGTCAGAACTAATGTGATGTCATCATCGGAAGTTTTATTTATCGGTAGTATGAGTTTTTTATAGTTTTATTTATCATTTTTTGTTTACTACATATGTTGCTTTGCTCTCTCTCTCTCTCTCTCTCTCTATATATATATATATATATATATATACTGCTTTGTATATCACTGCTTTGTATATATGCGAGAAGTCTATCTGTCGAAATACCGAGTGACATTCGAAGCTCGTATGACAAATTCGATGAAATATCGACACTTCAATCATCCTGCGCTTCTTTTTTTATCTCAGTTTCAATGATAAATCAATTTTTATTCGTGCGGGAACATCTATTGAAGTCTTTCCTTCCGCTTCCGGAAGATAAGAGGTAAATGGAACGAAAAAAAAAAAAAAAAAAAATAATTTAAATCGTTTGCTAACTTTTCTCGCACAACTAAATTAAAAGAAAGGTTTTTTTGTATCGTAATAAACTTCATCGCAGTGTTAAAAAAAATATATACACATAAACGTTTCGAAAGAGAATTTCGAATGGAGAGATTCACGTGAATGGTTTTCTTCCGCAAGTAGATATGTAACAGGAGCTGTGTTACGGCGAAAATGTCGGGAATCATTTCTGATTTGATTAAATTCGCGCATTGATATATGAATTTTTTGAAACCTCGGTACGGCTTCAGGCGGAGTGGAGTAGCGCGCGCGCGTTTGATTTTGCGCGACACCGTGGTGTGGACGTCATAACGAGTGCGCCACACGTCGTATTATGCGGAATAAATCAGCGCCGATGCGGGATTATGTAAGACATTAATCTTTTCGAGACGCGCGATTTTTCACCCACTTATTGATCTCCCGACAAGAGCAATGACTTTCGACGTTTCACGGGCTTGCGGACGGTTACATGTTCGCGATGAAAAATTCATGAGGCGCCATGTAACACGCGTATGTAACACGCTTGCTGTACATAAGACACGCCACGCGATAATCCTCCGATCCGTATCGACTTTATGCCACGTGAATCATGACCGTTGTGCACTTACAAAAATGTCTTATTGAATTATTTATTATTCCGCGCTTACGCGGGCGTAACGTAACAGCCGAAAGAATATTATTTGCAACGGTGAATAGTTTTTAAGTAGCGAGCGATAAATAAAAGTTACAATTTTCTGTAAGCGACGCGAAGAAAAAAAAACGGATGCTGTGTATTCTACTTTTATTTACATAGAGTTTCGAGGATATAAAAGTTGGACGAGAAAGAAAGAATCTTCTTTTAACAGAATCTGGACGTATATATTCTCCATTCCATATTTCGTTGTATGTAAATTCTCGCGAATTGCTCCGCGAGAGTTAGTGGAAGCGGCAACTTCCGCTGTGATCATGTAGATTTCATAAAGTTAAAATTTATATTGTTTTAACCACTTATACATACGTACACACATAAGTTGGTCAAAACAATAAAAAATTTAAAAATTTTAAATAAAAACGATAAAAATAAATTTTATATATGTAAATATATATATATATTTATACACAAAAATATGTCAATAAATATGAAGACGCGTTTCATCGCTTTATTTTTAGCACTGCGTTCGACGTCAATAAATTATAGAACAAATTGTTGATGAAGCTTTGTGAAAATTTATTGATGCGAAGAGAGCACGCTTGTTGATAATATATTTGATTTAGAAAACACATATTGGATTCTCTTCATCAATGATGTCGCGGAAAAATTCATTTGTGCGAGCGCGCATCTAAAAATATTTTTTTTTTTTTGTTTTTCAGATGTGGAATTCTTTAAATTCACAACAAATAATCCGCTTGTTTATTTTGTTTTATTTGTTGTCTGTGTGTTCTTCCTCTCACAATAAGTATATACCCAGCAAACATTTCGGTCACAGAACCATATCCATCTGTGTCCTCAGTAGGATATGGTTTGGTAATCATGTCTGTCAACATGTGAAATGTCAAAATGCGACCAAAATGATGACAGAGTCTGCTACAAGCAAAGCGAAGTCAAATTATCGCCAAAGTGAAGCCAAAATCCGGAATAGGTTTGGTCATCGTCTGTTGGCGCCAAATTGCAAACAGTGCGCACGTATACACGAACAGACCTGCTTGGCGTTTGGTGGCAATCTGTCGTCAATGCGTT